GCCTGTAGTAGAAGGAACAGGTGGGTAGTAGTAGAAGGAACAGGTGGGTAGTAGTAGAAGGAACAGGTGGGTAGTAGTAGAAGGAACAGGTGGGCCTGTAGTAGAAGGAACAGGTGGGTAGTAGTAGAAGGAACAGGTGGGCCTGTAGTAGAAGGAACAGGTGGGTAGTAGTAGAAGGAACAGGTGGGACTGTAGTAGAAGGAACAGGGTGTGTGTGTGTGTGAAAGATGATAAAGATAACTTCGATCTGCAAAAGCAGCTTGTTGATGAGGGAATTAGGTTGGTATCAGTGTTTGTTTTGTAAATGTCAGTTTGCTGACATTTTTATGTAGTTAAGTTTTTGTCCACTAGATGGTGTTCTCTGATAAATTTGGCATATTACTTATTTAGCAATACAAAGAATTCTGAACTGCAATGTTATTTGCTATGTGATGACACAGATGGTTACATTATTATGCATTTTATTCTATTTCATGATACAAGCCATTATACAAGCATATACTAAAGGATCTAATAAATATGCACGGTAGAAGATGGTGATAGCACTAAAGGTAAAGACTGTAAAGATTAAAATGTAATAATTTAAGGTAAATGTAATGTCATGATAAATTCATATGGTCATTCCTGTCAACATACTGTCTGAGTTACTAATGGTGATTTTATTTGTGTTTTCACAAGCAAGGCTGTTCAATGAAAGGATTGTGAATCAAACCATCATCTTTTCAACCACGATGCTACATTTTAGTCATATCTTTATCTGAAGCTATGTGGTCAGAAACTTCCCCCAGCTGAGGAGGGGAACTTCATGAAAAAGATAGAAGCCGAAGGTCATGCAGTTTACATTTTACAATTACATTATTGCAGACTGTAGACTGAACATTTCTATCACAATTTATTGTAAGAAAAAGCTATTTTCCCAAATCTGTTAAATCTCCAGCTTTTTTTTATCTGTCAGATTGTTTTATTAGACATGACTCTGTCAATCCCTTACCCTGCTCATCTTCCACATCTGTGTGTTTGAAAAATCCTATCCAATCCCAGTTAAATAGATTCCATTAAAACCATGTTGATGAAATCATCCATACAGTGGTGGTTGGTCAATAGAGGGCGCTAGGGCAACGCCCCACCAACCCAATGACCCTGATTAAGTCACAAGAAAAATTTTATTTATTTTTTTTAATAATTTTTCGAAATATGATATATATTTTTCAGATGTGTGAAATATTTAATCTTTAATAACGAGTAAAGCATCAATCATTCTTTCGTCGGAATGGTGACGTATTTCCTCCCTAGAGGGCAAGTATCTTTAACCATTGGCTCTGGTTCAAAGTTTTCTACGAGCAGAAGCTCCTCTGCAATACCAAGGTATAGAACGTCCCAGGATGCAGCTAAGCTAGTACCTGAGGTGACAGGAGGTGCTCACCGCCTCCACTACAGCGCAGACGTCATGCAGCTTATTGACAGGTCGAGTCGCAGGAGCTGAAGACGCATTGATTAAACTGTTCCATTATTTGATTTTAGGTTTGTGACCCAATATTGGACCATGCAAAACACAATTTAACCTTCATAAAGCCTCACAGGGGAAGATTTATGTAAAAAAAAAACTAAACCTGGACATGAAATTATGTTTTATTTTTATAATGTTGTTGTTGGCATGCATATAAATATACTTGTATCATAACTTAGTATACGTTTGATTGGTTATTGGTATACATCTATTGATTAACCCCCCCCGGTTAAAACTCTACCGCCACTGGTTCAATATAGATGCTGCTTCTAGTCCAGCAAATATCCCTGCTGTTCAGTATTTAAAAAGAAATGTCTCATAGTTCAGTGCCACATACAACACAATGGCTGGAAATGGATTAAGGTAAATGTAAATGTTCTCCAATCCCTCACAGAGCTGCAAACTATTAAAACACAAAACTTAACCATTTACACCAAAACCAGCAGCTTTTACTTTGTGGTTTATCAGACTACAGAAACAGTCTGTATTTTCTCTTGTGAGTTCAGAGTGCTTTCACAAGAAACCAGCCAAACATGTGACAGGATCACTCACAGACAGCAACAGCTGAAAAACTCACCACTGGAACAGTTAGAGCCCCCCCAGCCTGGTTCACATCGACAGGTGTTGGGTTCCATACAACTGCCATGAACACAGCTGTCTGCACAATACGCTGGAAAAGGACGACAAAGAGACACAAAAAACTATTATTTTCATTTCTTCATTCCACAGATTTAAAGTCAAAGTTTAGTCAGTTTTTCTGTATAGCACTAATTTGTGCTAATGGTGATTGTGACACTTTAAAACTCACTATAGAGAAATAAACAATTGACTATAGGCCAGTCATACAGACAGATCCAGTCTGCTGCAAACTTTCTCAATCAATCCAAATATATTCCACTGTATTCTTAACTGAAATCCAATATACAGATCATTAATGCAGTGAAAAGATAAAACCTCCGCTGGTGAGGCAGAAACATTCAGCGTAGCCTGGCAAGGAAGGGCAGACACACACACAACAACAAACAGCAGCACACAACAGCACACAACAGCACAAGGCAGCACACAGCAGCACACAACAGCACACAACAGCACAAGGCAGCACACAGCAGCACACAGCAGCACACAACAGCACACAACAGCACACAGCAGCACACAGCAGCACACAACAACACACAGCAGCACACAACAGCACACAACACACAACAGCACACAACAACACACAGCAGCACACAGCAGCACACAACAACACACAACAGCACACAACAGCACACAACACACAACAGCACACAACAACACACAACAGCACACAACAACACACAGCAGCACACAACAACACACAACAGCACACAGCAGCACACAACAGCACACAACAGCACACAGCAGCACACAGCAGCACACAACAACACACAGCAGCACACAACAGCACACAGCAGCACACAACAGCACACAGCAGCACACAGCAGCACACAACAACACACAGCAGCACACAACACACAACAGCACACAGCAGCACACAACAGCACACAACAGCACACAGCAGCACACAGCAGCACACAACAACACACAGCAGCACACAACAGCACACAGCAGCACACAACAGCACACAGCAGCACACAGCAGCACACAACAACACACAACAGCACACAACACACAACAGCACACAACAGCACACAACAGCACAAAGCAGCACACAGCAGCACACAACAGCACACAGCAGCACACAGCAGCACACAGCAGCACACAGCAGCACACAACAGCACACAGCAGCACACAACAGCACACAGCAGCACACAGCAGCACACAACAACACACAGCAGCACACAACAGCACACAACACACAACAGCACACAACAGCACACAACAGCACAAAGCAGCACACAGCAGCACACAGCAGCACACAGCAGCACACAACAGCACACAGCAGCACACAGCAGCACACAACAGCACACAGCAGCACACAGCAGCACACAGCAGCACACAACAACACACAGCAGCACACAGCAGCACACAACAACACACAACAGCACACAACAGCACACAACACACAACAGCACACAACAACACACAACAGCACACAACAGCACACAGCAGCACACAACAGCACACAACAGCACAAAGCAGCACACAGCAGCACACAGCAGCACACAACAGCACACAACAGCACACAGCAGCACACAGCAGCACACAACAACACACAGCAGCACACAACAGCACACAACACACAACAGCACACAACAAAACACAGCAGCACACAACAACACACAACAGCACACAACAGCACACAACACACAACAGCACACAACAACACACAACAGCACACAACAACACACAGCAGCACACAACAACACACAACAGCACACAGCAGCACACAACAGCACACAACAGCACACAGCAGCACACAGCAGCACACAACAACACACAACAGCACACAACACACAACAACACACAACAGCACACAACACACAACAGCACACAACAACACACAACAGCACACAGCAGCACACAACAGCACACAACAGCACACAACAGCACACAGCAGCACACAACAACACACAACAGCACACAGCAGCACACAACAGCACACAACAGCACACAACAGCACACAACAGCACACAGCAGCACACAACAGCACACAACAGCACACAACAACACACAACAGCACACAGCACACAACAACACACAACAACACACAACAGCACACAGCAGCACACAACAGCACACAACAGCACACAGCAGCACACAACAGCACACAACAGCACACAACAACACACAACAGCACACAGCAGCACACAACAACACACAGCAGCACACAACACACAACAGCACACAACAACACACAGCAGCACACAGCAGCACACAACAGCACACAGCAACACACAACAGCACACAACAACACACAACAGCACACAGCAGCACACAACAACACACAACAGCACACAACAACACACAACAGCACACAGCAGCACACAACACACAACAACACACAACAGCACACAGCAGCACACAGCAGCACACAACAGCACACAACAGCACACAGCAGCACACAACAGCACACAGCAGCACACAGCAGCACACAACAGCACACAGCAGCACACAGCAGCACACAACAGCACACAACAGCACAAACACACAGCAGCACACAACAGCACACAACAGCACAAACACACAGCAGCACACAGCAGCACACAGCAGCACACAACAACACACAGCAGCACACAACACACAACAGCACACAACAGCACACAGCAGCACACAGCAGCACACAGCAACACACAACAGCACACAACAACACACAACAGCACACAGCAGCACACAACAACACACAACAGCACACAACAACACACAACAGCACACAGCAGCACACAACACACAACAACACACAACAGCACACAGCAGCACACAACAGCACACAACAGCACACAGCAGCACACAACAGCACACAGCAGCACACAGCAGCACACAACAGCACACAGCAGCACACAGCAGCACACAACAGCACACAACAGCACAAACACACAGCAGCACACAACAGCACACAACAGCACAAACACACAGCAGCACACAGCAGCACACAGCAGCACACAACAGCACACAACAGCACAAACACACAGCAGCACACAACAGCACACAGCAGCACACAGCAGCACACAACAGCACACAGTAGCACACAGCAGCACACAACAGCACACAACAGCACACAAAAGCATGCAACAGCAGGCAACAGAACACAACAGCATACAACAGAAGGCAACAGCACACAACAGCACAAAAAAGCACACAACAGAACGCAGCAGCACACAACAGCATGCAATAACAGACAACAGCAAGCAACAGAAAGCAACAGAATGCAACAGCACACAACAGCACACAACAGCAGACAAAAGCATGCAACAGCAGGCAACAGAACACAACAGCATACAACAGAAGGCAACAGCACACAACAGCACAAAAAAGCACACAACAGAACGCAGCAGCACACAACAGCACACAACAGCACACAAAAGCATGCAACAGCAGGCAACAGAACACAACAGCATACAACAGAAGGCAACAGCACACAACAGCACAAAAAAGCACACAACAGAACGCAGCAGCACACAACAGCATGCAATAGCAGACAACAGCAAGCAACAGAAAGCAACATAATGCACAGCACACAACAGCAGACAACAAAACACATCAGAATGCATCAGAACGCAACGGCATGCAACAGCATGCAACAGCACACAAAAGCACGCAACAGCATGCAACAGCACACAACAACAGACAACAGCACACAACAGAATGCATCAGAATGTAACAGCACGGAACATAAGGAACAGCACACAACAGCACACAAAAGGCCACAGCAGCACCCAACAGCACACAACAACACACAACAGAATGCAACAGCACACAACAGCACGCAACAGCACACAAAAGCACGCAACAGCACACAAAAGCAAACAACAGCATACAACAGCACGCAACAGCACACAACAGCACAAAAAAAGCATGCAACAGCGCACAACAGAACGCACAGCACACAAAAGTACGCAACAGCAGAAAACAAAACACAACAGAATAAATCTGAACGCAGCAGCATGCAACAGCATACAACAGCACACAAAAGCATGCAACAGCAGACAACAGAATGCATCAGAACGTAACAGCACGCAACAGAAGGAACAGCACACAAAAGGCCACAACTTCATGCAACAGCACACAACAGCAGACAACAGCATGCATCAGAACGCAACAGCACACAACAGCATGTAACAGCACTCAACAGCACACAAAAGCACACAACAGCACGCAACAGAAGGAACAGCACACAAAAGGCCACAACTTCATGCAACAGCACACAACAGCAGACAACAGCATGCATCAGAACGCAACAGCACACAACAGCATGTAACAGCACTCAACAGCACACAAAAGCACACAACAGCACGCAACAGCACACAACAGCACACAACAGCACACACACAACAGCACACATGCAACAGCACTCAACAGAAAGGCAGCAGCACAAAAAAACTTTTTTTAAACCAGTACATAGTTGCAGCAATATCTCCTTCTGTTTGTGAATCTCAAAGGTAAACTGCATTAAACACTGAGAGACAAGGCAAAGGTTGGCATCCATAGAAGTAGTAATTAAGTTATTCTGATCGTCATTCTGATATGAGTCGTTAAGCTGTTCAGACTGCAGTCATGTTCCAAACTATCCAACCTGTACTGGATTTAAAACCACATAAAGATGTGTTCCAGTCAAGAGTCAAGAGCTAATCTCACCTCAACAGTCAAGAGCTAATCTCACCTGAGTCACTTCAGGGTAATATAAACAGATTTAGTCTCCTCTGTCTGAAGTGTGAACGCAGCCTCTGTTGGACTTCTATGAAGATCCACTTGGTCACGTCGTTTAACTGGTAATTGGGATTCTTTATTCCTATTGGCTAATCTTCACTGGGACTGAGCGGATATTCTGTCTTTTATCTCCCAGACTTAAATACTGGTTCAAAGCTCAACTGTGTTGCTGTATTCCTCTCCTACACTGAGCTCCAGAGAAGCTACTACTGCCATTAAGCTTTTCTTCTTCTCTCACACAGGACCTAATCCTGGATCAGTGCTTCTGTTTTCCTTTGGCATCTCTGCTCACACCTTCAGATGTGATGCTAGACGGATCACAGC